CTGCCCCAACACACAAGGCTGCTTTCATCCCTCTTTATGAAGGAATAAAGTTGTACATCTCACATGTACATCACATATGTGATATGCCTTTGTTACTTTGAATTACCCAAAGGAAAGAGAAAACTCCAGGATTCTGAGCAACAATTTTACTCCAGATGGATGGACAAATAATAGCACTTCTCATTTAATACATAGTAAAATGGAAGTGATGAAATTAACTAGATACAAACTCATTCTTCAACAATGTGCAACTGATTACAGATAAACAGAATGATTTATTCAGACACATTCAGATGGAGAATGTGAAAAAAACCCCTATATTACTGTTACCACTGACACCAAATTCAACATAAGAAGTGACATTTATAACAGGCTTCTAATTAATGTGCTTTTATGGTGGTTTAAATTGACAGAAATAAAAACTACTTTTCCCTTTTATTAGAAAAAATAAGTATGACTACTATTGAAAAGCTCCTTAAAAATTGGTTTGTATCACATTCACTCTCTGAGCTAATGCTACAGATTTATAGCTATCGAAGCACAAACCTCTACTACTTAAAGAATTTAGTGAAAGCAACCAATTGTCAGAACTGATAAGCTATTAGCACTCAACTGTATCAATGCTTTGTCGAAAATGTCCTTCCCATTTTGCAGACAGCAGGAATGTGGTTTCAACTGACTCAAATTTCCACACTTTTTAATCAATTGGTTTTAAAACCACAACACTGGGATGATCAGCCCAACCATATCTGTGAAACAGTAACTAGAAAAAACAAACTCATATAAAAAGGGTTGTTTCCTCTTTCCTTCTACTTCTTTGTCTTTCAACTAGTTCCTATGAACAGTAACCTATGCTATATTTTGCATCTATTGAGATTTTTAAAATCTAATTTATTATTGAATGTATCTAAAGCATTCTTCATTAAAGTCCTTTTTTTCTGATTCAGTAAGAGCTTCATCACTCAGCTTAGTGAGGAAAACTTAAAAGACAACTTAGAGAAATATCTCCTTTGTTTCTACTTATTTCAACTGGGGGGAAATCGTCACACTTCTAACAAAAGGAACAATTCCAGTGGTATATAACTGATAACAAGATGTTGATATAGACAGGCACAAGAGAGTAAAGTGAAAACCATTTACATTTCACATAAGACTTTTCAGAATCTTTATACACTAAAAGGTAGTTGATTGCTTTCTTTTCCAGAAATACAGCAGAAAATCTCTGCTGTATCATTACATCTCATTTGCAATGCCCCTCAGATGCCTAGTTTTGGTCAGGTGGCTTTGCACCGCTGTGTCATACTTTTTTAGGTACTAAAACAAGCAGAAAAAGGAACGATAACTTCCCCCAACTAGAAACACTGATGGATAAAGGAAATGGCTGAGGATAAACATCCTTCTTTCTCAGGTCTTCTGGAATACTTTTAAAATCACCACAAACACGTTTTGCTACTGCTGCAGATAAAAGGCTTCAAGTAGGTCTGTACTACAGGTTATCCATCCCATTTGGCTAGCTGTGCAAAAAAAAAGAAAAACCTGATTTTTAAAAGGCATCTACAAATCACATACTTTAAAATCACTGATCATATAAGAAAGTTCAGGAAAGAAAATGTAATTTCATTTACACTAAGAGCTCAATATAACTTCAGTACTAAGTTTTGTCATCAGGTCATTGGGTGGCAAGATTCACCTATTTGAAGAGCAGTTACGTATACACATGCACCTGGTACTGAATTGTCTGATGTGGAAATAGTTAATGATGGAACAGAGTAACAAGATCTTGCTTTAGAACTAGACTGAAGCCTCAGCATGAAAGTTTAGAACAGTGCTTATTCTCACACGCTCCACAAATGGTGGACACTGAGGAGCCAGTAAAACTAGTGGGCAGAGCAACAGCAGTGTAAAACATCTGCTCAGTCGTTTAATTCAATTATGTTGTCAGCATTTCACCCTTCCATGCAATCAACAGTCCACTTAACCCACACAATCTCTGGGTAAGTAGGTTCTTATGTTCTACCCAGTAAAGAAGAAAACTAGAAACTTTCCCTTACAGTATTTTTATTGTACAACTAACGTGCTAACTAAAACTAGAGCACTAACTCAAGCAGTGCTTGCAATTTCCATTTACTTCTAGTAGGCTTGCAGAGTATGTGTGCAACTTCTCTAAAAAGATTTTTAAATCCTCAACTATTTATTAGTACCTTTGAGTTATTCAAAGGTAATTAGCAGCACAGGAAGCAATACAAAGATTCTACTGATAAATGGGCACAGAGAATGGACCTCCCCAAATCCTGACACGATTTCTTCCCATATTCATCATAAGGCAGCATCAGAATTTTTAACAAGGTTTCAGAGAATACAATGGTCTTCTTAAAGGCTTTTACATAGAATTGTAATACAAACAGCATTCTACCTGGTTTTCAGCTGCCTTTCCAGATGTATTCTCCTTAGACTCTATTTACCAGCCTCATACAGAGGTCTGAAACACATTAAGATGTCTAAACTGGCATGAGACACCTATGCCTTTATGTTACAAATGTCTTCTACATTACTCTCCTATCTCACAGACTAGAAGATTATTTGCAACTGCCTCTTTGTTCCAGCATCATGAAATCAAAAATGTAGATTACAAGACACTGATCTGTTCATAAAGCACAATGGCACCAAATCATCACCACCAGCTAGGACACAAAGTTCCCCTTCTACTACATTCTCTACCAGTATTACAGACAAGGATGACAGGATTTTACTGTTAAGTATAAAAATAAAAAAAAAGCGAAACTATTCGTGACAACAGGTTTCATATATTTTATATCATAACTTGGTCTGGTTTCAGTAATTTTAGTGGGAGTTTTCACTGATTTTCAGCATTTCAGATTTCTGGCTCCTAAAATATACTGAGCAAAACACAAGAAGTATCAGTCTCCTCCTGCTGTTGCATTGATGTACTTTACTCCTTAACCAAATTTTACTTTGCATTTTCCCCTTTCACCCCTAAGAGGTGAGATCCAACAGAGAATATACAACCCATGAGATGTGGCTGAGGTGAGCACCTGCACACAGCACAGGTATTTTGTGTCTAGGCCCAGCATACAGGGAAATAGAGGCAGAACACACTGAGAGAGGGCTTGGTCCAGGGAAGGTCCAGTAGTGCAGTGAGGTCAATGAAGAGTTTCACTGAAGTTACCAGGACCTACTGCCATGTGCAAAGAACTCAGATCTCAGGTGATGACCATCAGGGATGGAAGATGGAGCTGCATACTTGCTTGAGAGTGAGCAAACTTCTCAGTCCTTTGTCAGAGCAGGACTTGCTTAGCCCATACTTCACAGGATTAGATTCAAACAGCTCACTTTTTAATTGCTCAGATAACAGAGCTTCAATAAAAATTAATTCCAGTGAGTTTATATTGGGCAAAACCATTTCTGTGCATAGAATAAAATAATTCTAGTGCACTGAATGACTGTCTCAGTAGCCCAACTTTCATTTGGATCATTGTTGCAATCCAAACAAGGAATAACAAATAAAATGTTTCTATGCCAACAAAATATAAATTATACATATGATTTTATTTCCCAAATTACTAGTTAAGTACTTTATATCTTTATCCATGAGAGTGTTTTTCTATTTTCAGGACAAAACATCTAATTGTAGCTCATGTTTTGAATTACTAAAAAATTATCTTACAATTATCATCTAACAAGTATTTAGCTAGAAGTACATTTCCTGGCAACAAAAGTACACTAAACCATTCCAAACTTGAATGACCCTTTAGCTTCATCATTAGGGAACTTCAGTTACATACAATGGAAATATAATTTTCTGGTTTAAATGCTGGGGTTTTAGTCACACTTTCTACAGAACAGCACCAAAACTATTAAAAGGAAGGAAAATAAAAAGCCCCACTGCTTCTTCCTATTGGGACGCTTGGTTTCCATCACATGGATTGCATGCACCATCTACTTAGAGAAAAAATAAGAGAATTGTTGCTCGTGTATTGATCTAGCATCAAGGTAAGCCACAGAAACCTTTGCTGACAGAATTTTATTGAGCAATATAGTCCTCATGTCCCAAGAGCATTATGAAGTGAAAGTCCACTACATCGCTACAGGTTATTTTGTAGTTCATGTTACACAGAACGCTACACTAAAGGAATACTTTTGTCTTTGAACAACAAAACCCGTTTTATTTTTCATAACTAGTGCATACAAAAGACTATTATTAAGTGTCAAGTAGATGCAGCTACTGCAATTCCAGATCGGCACAACAGCTGCACACGTATTGAATTCAAGCGTAAACACTAACAATGTTTGTCTTAGTAGAATATCAGGAGTATCTGCCATGCACCCGAGCTGTTCGCAGTACTTTTGTTTCAAAGTCTGCCTGCTTATGTCTACCCGGTGAGCGATTTATTTAGCCATGAGTTACGTTCACACGCAAGGAAATAGGGCAAACCCCTTGCCGTCCCCATCTGTCTTTCATCCTTCCAGATAACCAGCACACCACCATTTTCCCCGCAAACAAAGGTTAAAGAAAGCCCAGCTCCTGTGAAAATAAAAGGAATGGGGCAACTCGCGGGGTCGGGAGCGGCACGGGGGGCTCAGCCCGGGGGCAGCCCCCGGCGGGGCAGGGCTGAGCCGGGATCCCGACCGGCGGGGCAGGCGACGGCAGCACTAAAGTATTTCGGACCAAGAGCAGACAAAAGAGGGTGTGTAGCAGCTGCGCGGAGCGCGGCAGCCGCCGGCACGCCAGCCCGCTCCGTTCGGGAGGCAGAAAGTCCATTTCTAGCAGGGAAAAACCCACCCACCCGTGCCGCTCCCTCCCTGCCCCTCGCCGCCGAGGGCAGGGGCGCGTCCCCCCGTGCCCCCGGCCAGCGCCGGCAGGAGCGCGCAGGGCGCAGCCCCTCCGCTCCCGAGGAGAGGTGACGGCTGCGGGCGGGTTGAAGTTCGGGGGCGAGGGGCAGACCCCGACCGGACTCACCCCCACTCGCCTCGCCGCTTACCTGTGGGGAGGTGCGCGGTGCCCGCAGCCCTCCCGGCGCAGCGAGCTGCGGAGGTGCGCCGTGCCCGTCAGACACGGGGCTTCTCCGGTGAGGCGGCGGCTGGCTCAGGGAGTGACAGGGCGGCGGCTCCCCTCGCCCTTCCCCGGCACCGTGCTCGGCGAGAGGCGGGCGGGGGCAGGCATGGCGAGCAGGCAGGAGCGGGGCTGGGGCGGTCACTGCCGGCCGGAGGAGGACGCCCGCCGCCCGGGGGCTGCGCGCCCCCCCGCCGCCAGCGCAGGGCCAGCCGGAGGCGGCCTCCCCCTGCTCGCCCCGCGGCGACGGGCGGGTGCCATAGCAGCGCTCCGCGGGAGCCGCCGCGGGAAGGGCCGCCGAGCAGCCGCCCAGGGGGGCGTGGGCGGGCGGCGGCTCCGCGGCGCAAAACTTTCCCCGGCTCCCCTGCAGGGTGCCCGGGCGGCGCTCGCCCCCGGCGGCGCTGCGGGGGAGGTGGAAGGGCACGGACCCCGCTCTCACAGCCGGCCCCACCGCTCCGGTCCGCTTAGCGCCGCCTGGGCTCGGCCCTCGCCGCCCGCCCGCAGCAAAGTTTCACTCCGAAACCTCGCGGCTGCGGCCCCATCTCCATGGCAACGACCCCCTGGTTTCCCTGCGCTCCCCACGGGACGAGGCGGAGGCGGGCAGCCCCCTCTCCGGGCGCGACGACGGGAGGCAGCCGGGACCAGCCCAGCGGGCGCTAGGCAGGTCTGGCCGCAGGCAGCGCCCAGGACGGGACGGCAGCCGGGGAAAGGCGCAGGCTGAGCCGCAGGACCGGGACGCCGCTCCTTCTCTACCTCCCGCCCCGGGGGAAGTTTGCCGGCTCCCCGCTCCCGCCGGGACCAGCCGGCCGTGGCGCCTCCGCTGCGGGACCTCCCCGCGCTACTCTGCCGGCAGCCCCGGCGGAGCGGCGGGTTTGTATCGCGCCCGGTTCCGCCCCGCCGGGCGCAGGGGCCGCGGCCGCGAGGGAGGAGTCACCGGCGGGCGGCCGGGGGCGGCGGCGCGGGAGCGGAGCGGAGCGAGGGGGTGCCGGTCACGGTGGTGCGGGGTTTTCCGATGGGAATCGGCCTTTCCCGGCGGGGGTCGGTCTTTCCTGACGGTGCAGGATCTCCGGGTGCGGGACCGGGTGCCCGCCCTCCCTGACCCCGGTGGGGTGTGAGAGCCGGACGGAAACCGTGGGAGCGCAGAGTGATTCACCGCAATGTGGGGGCTCTTTACCTCGGATGCAATTATGTTTTATGATTCAGCTTTTCATTTTTATTTTATTCATTCTTATTTTGGAGGGTTTCTTATGAGGCCGCCCGCCCACCCCTCGTGTCCTGTCAGGGACGGCAAAGGTGATCTTCCTTGTGCTCGCACCTTCCAGTCGGGCGAGGTAATCCAGCAGATGCGCTTAGGAGAGGGGATGATTCCAACCTGCATGGGAGCCCTCCACATTTATAAGTCAAACATATCTTCTGGGGGGGAAATAAAAACTACTCTGCACTTGGTTTGCATTGATAGCAGGTTTTATTTCATTTTTTAAAGTTGATTGGACTTAAGTGTTGCTCTTTCCTTTTTTTTTTTCAATTCACCACGATTCTACCTATGCATCTCCCAAAAAAAAAAAAAAAACAAAACTGAACTTAGTATAAATATATCTTTTTTTTTCTGGGGAAGTATTTTCCTCAAGACAGTGGCTTAGCAGCCACCATCCATCCTGCAACAGTACTTCCAATCATAAATGCCTACAATTGCTTTGTGGTTGTACAGTGTGTTGTGAGCTCTCAGTATATGCTTTATAAAGATTGTAATCCTGATGGCTGCAGTGACAGATACTATTCCTCAGAAGTTTGAAATACTGCATTTCCAGCTGTTTGGCATGTTTTGTTTCAAGGAGTGAAGAATCACTTTCAAGTGTCAGATTTCTGTCTGTTCATTCAGCTATTGCTGGATCTGTGATTTGGTTTGTGTGTGATGTAACATGTATTTCATGTCAGCTAGTGAGAGGACAGGTCTGCCAGCAGTTGTGTACTTCAGAGATGTCAAATTTTGAAAGGCCCAGCTGTGTATCACAGAGGCAATGGATGAAAGGGTGATACATACCCACCAAATCCCAAGTAAATGTAATATCCCTACTAGTGAGAAACCAGATATTTTCTTTAGAATTTATGGAAAATGTTGATGTGGAAGAGATAAGGAAACTTCACACTCTTGTGCTGTCAGTAGATGATGAAATGTTGACCAGGCATGTGACACGAACCACTGCTGGTTTCGCCTCTGCTCTTGTACTGTCTCTGGAAGGGCTGGGGCTTTTAAATCTAAAAGGCAAAAAAATTGTTCGGTTCTTGCTACTGACCTTTCTTTTCCCTCCAACAGTGGACTTGTATAGAGTATCACTGTACCTTTTTTCTTGTGGTTTAACCCCAGCTGGCAACTGAACACAACACAGCCACTCACTCTCCCCTTGTGGGATGGCAGAGAGAATAAGCAGAGCAAAAGCGAGAAAACTCATGGGCTGAGATGAAGATATTTAATAGGTAAAGCAAAAGCCATGTGTGCAAGCAAAGCAAAACAAGGAATTCATTCACTGTTTCCCATGGGCAGGCAGGTGTTCAGCCATCTCCAGGAGAGCAGGGCTCCATCGCATATAGCAGTGATGTGGGAAGATAAATCCCATCACTGTGAACATGCCTCTCTTCCTCCTTCCTCCAGCTCTGTTTGCTGGGCATGATACGTACACCATGGAGTATCCATTTGGTAAGTTGGGGTCAGCTATCCAGCCCCCTCCCAGCAACTTGTGCACCCACAACCTCTCCACTGGTGGATTGGAATGAGAAGTGGAAAAGGCCTTGGCTCTTAGATAAGCACTGCTTGGCAGTAATTAGTTTTATCAATAGCACAGTTCCCGACAGCTAGCCCCATACTAGCCCATACTAGCTGCTATGAAGAAGCCATCCTCATAAATCCACAGATATTTATGTTCTCAAACAGTGCCCATCCTAAAAAAAGCCCTAGGCAAGTGACAGAAAGAACCAGTGTGTTTTCAGAGACAGAGTGAATAGGTTGAGGGATTAATTTCAGTACTGTTACTAGGTGAGAAGCATCTCTAGGGTAGATTTCCCCTTGCATTTGCTGTATGTGCAAAACCCACTGACAGTGAACCACATAATTGTTGTTTTTTTACATGATCCATAAGTTATATGTAGAAAAATGTGATCATTTATATTAATGTGGGCAGCACATTTTGTGGGAGATTTCTGTGGATTATAGTACAAGAGCTGCCCACCTAAGTGACAGACATTTGGAAGAGGTGTTTTGCAAGCAGATGAAGCTCAGTTTTGCTACTTGCCTGTGTTGCCTGGAGCCATCTAAAATTCTAACATTGCATTCTTACAGATGGCTAGTGTCCACTCCTTCTCCTAAATACAGTAGTTTTATACTGACCTTAAAGTCATTGGTTTAAGGAATTTGTTCCTGATCTGCAATAGAAAGGAAAGAAGAGGATAAGGCCCCGAGGCTCCTCAGATCTCAGTCATCTGCACATCTCTAGAGAGTCAAACAACATTAAGACCAATATTTCAGGCATTAAATGTCAACACTGATATTGCTAACACTCAGTAAAACAAAAGTTTTAGTACATTAATTATTAAAGTGGTTACTTCTGAGATTATAGCAAGAATCAGTAATTTTAGCATTATGGGTGAGATTCTCCCTTTGAAAGGCATGGAATATTTTTATTTGAAAGTTGGAATGTCAACAGTATTCTACTAGTTTCCCTTCCAACCTACACCTTTCAGTTCATGCTATGAAAAGCCATTCATTCACTGTAATAAGCAAGGCAGTGGGTGGATTAAATTGTGTGTCTTCCATAAATTTAATCCAATTAAAGAGAAAGCTGGCATTCTTTTAGCTTTGGACAGGATAATTTTTTAAGATCCAGATCCGTTTCTACTACAAACTTCACTAAAATTTGTGACACTTGACTGTCCTGTGTAATAATGTAGTAAATGTGAAATATCCTGATTTGGGAACATGAATGAAATTGAAGATTGGAAGGATCCCCACTAGAGGTAAAGAGCTGTAATCAGGTCCAGACCATAACAGTGAGAATAAATGACACAGTAAGTTTCTATTTTTGCTAAGGCTTACTGTGACTTGTACTGTGATACTGTTATCTTACATACCTTACTTTCATGATTATATATATAAAAATAGTCTACATCTGTTATCCCTTTAATTCTGATTAAGACGTAAAAGAAATCTTCAAACCATCATGTGTTTTAATAGATTTGTTAATACTCAATATTTTTACAGTGTAATTGGCAAGAATATGGTCTTTATAAGCAGTGAATGAGTGTCAACAATTTCTTGGTGATAATAAATTATTTGTTAGTCAGTAGATAATAAAGACATAATTGCAAACACAGCTCTGCTTTAATGACTGATTTCTGCCTCTGAAAGTACAAAATCTAAGTCTTTAATCTGTACATGAGAAAATGCTTAAGCAATCAAGGACTGAAATAGCATCTATTAAATATCAAGCCTGTTCCATGTACTCGGGACATATAAACTAGTAACCAAAATCCAGTCATAAATGATCTGAATAATCCCACTGCCTCTCTTCAAACAAAACCCACCTTTCCTCACCATGAGAAATCTAGAAGAGGTGTCCTTACTGCTTTTTCTTATCCTATGCTATACTGGCCATATACATGTTATATACTGGCTTATACATGCTATACTGATAGGTTAGCTCCTTGCCCCTTAAGCCAGTCTCTATTACCAAGCAACAGCAAGATGGTTAACAGGTAATTAATTTATTTTTTTCTTTTTTCTTTTATTTTTCTTTTTTCTCTTCTCCAGGAGCTCATCATGAATACTAGCAGAGCTACTTTGCTGGTGTTTGTGTAACACCAGTGTGAAACTCATCTTGATATTGCCCAGAAAAATCTTGCAAACAACTTGACACCACTGATTCTCAAGCTTACTAGTTCAATTTCTGGTGCTTGTCTGTTACACACTGTCTTTACTCAGCTGGAAGTTTTTCATAGCATATAGCATCT